ATCTGATTTCTCTCTGATCGGGTTTAAGCCCAATCCGATCATAGTCGGTTGCGACCCCTAGGGAGGCAATGCGATCTAGCAGTTCGTTTAAGGCCAAAACATCTATCGGATCCATCTTGTCGGAGTATTCAGGGCCGATGCGGAGGCGATTTTTGGCGATGAGTTGGGCTGATTTTGGCTTAACGGCCGGGTGAGCGCCCATAATGAAGCTGCCGAGTTGCAGAGTTTGCCCTAAAGCTAGGGCTTCTCCGGAAGTGATGTTGTCTTTGATGACAAGGCGAGCCATCAATCCTTCTGTCAATGGCATAGAGGAACTCTCAATGAAAGCACCAATGTCAGTGTCGAAACCGGCAGATCTCGGGTAGGGGGTCCCGAACTGTGCGTCTGAGGATCAAAGGTAACAAGGTGGCAGGGGACACGATGTTTACCTAGGTTCGGGCCCTCTTAATGGAGGTAATACCCTACTTCCTGTTTGACTGACTTTGATAAGTATAGGGGTTACAAGAGTTGATCTACCTCGAGATCGTAATGGCTAAACCCTAGATGTCTAGCCTGTATAATTGTGATTGCCCCTAAGGTCTAAACCCTCCGGCTTATAGAGGCATCGGAGGGAATTAGGGTTGTACAAAGTCGGTTTACAAAGGGAGGAAACTATACATCTGTACGCCAAGCTTGCTGTCCACGCAAAGGAGAGTCCCATTCAGACATGGGAGGAGGCCTTTTGTTCTCGTATCTTTACGGCCCGTTAGTCCGGCCCATGTCACATAGGCCGGCTCTTCGAGGACCCCATAATCCAGGACTCCCTCACCCTTAAAAGCAACAAATTCTTCTATTTGTTCCACATCATAGTAATCATATCTACCATTGGCATAAGAAGCCAAGGTTTCGTTATCATTAAATTCACATGAAAAGGGAAGATGTGGAGCATTCATCCTAGAGCAACAAGTATAATCATATCTCAAGCATACCTCCCGAGCATACCAATGCAACTTATGAATTTGATCCCATAACAATTTCCCTTTTTGTGTCAAGTGATAATCCCTAAAGTATTCACGTTGATCCAACGTTACTCCCATTATCAAGTTGAACGGGGTTTTCTCAGGATTATCAAAGTAGTGCATAATAATTTTCACATAACGAGCATCGAGGGTTTTAGGAGGTTCCCCATCTCCATGAGTAGCAAGTACCACTATTTTTTTGGTATTTCGTGTTCCATATCCATAACTAAAGATACAGAAGAACTTAGAACTGGAAATAAAAACTACTTAGTGATAAAGCAAACAAGCACACACGAGAATATTCACCCCATGCTATTGCTCCCCGGCAACGGCGCCAGAAAAAGGTCTTGATAACCCACAAGTATAGGGGATCGTTTGTAGCCTTCTTCGATAAATAAGAGTGTCGAACCCAACGAGGAGCTAAAGGTAGAACAAATATTCCCTCAATTTCTATCGACCACTGATACAACTCTACGCACACTTGACGTTTGCTTTACCTAAAACAAGTATGAAACTAATTTGCAAGAATAAAACTATGAGTACTTTGCAAGAATAAAACTATGAATAAATTGCAAGGTAGTAAAAGTGGATAGCTTTTGTCAACAAGAAAGTCATTTGTCCCTAGGCAATCGATAGCAAGTACCGGTAATCATTCTTGCAATTTTATATGAGGGAGAGGCATGAGCTAACATACTTTCTCTACTTGGATCATATGCACTTATGATTAGAACTCTAGCAAGCATCCGCAACTACTAAAGATCATTAAGGTCGTGAAACCCAACCATAGCATTAAGTATCAAGTCCTCTTTACTCCCATATGTCATACCCCACTTACTCGGGTTTAAGCTTCTGTCACTCTCGCAACCCACCATAAACGAACCATGAACATGTTGCAACACCCTACAGCGGGGGCCCCTCACGTTTGCGCGAGAACGGAGGGCACCGTAGGACAACACCAAAAATAAAATATACAATCATACCAACCAAGATCACGATTAACCCATAGGACAAAACGGATCCACTCAAACATCATAGGATAACCATAGATCATTGGAAAATAATATATGGAGTTGAGCACCATGTTTAAGTAGAGATTATAGTGGAGAGAAGAGGTGTTACACCGCTGCATAGAGGGGGAGAGAGTTGGTGTTGATGGTAGCAAGATTGTTGATGAAGATCCCCGCCACGATCCTAGCCCCGGCGGCACTCCGGCGCCACCAGGAGAGAGGGGGAGAGAGCCCCCCTCCTCCTTCTTCTTCATTGGCCTCCCCCTTAGATGGGAGGCGGGTTCCCCCTCTAGTCCATGGCCTCCATGGCGGAGGAGGGGCGGGAGCCCCTCCGAGATTGGATCTCCCTCTCTATTCTCTTCTGTTTCGCGCCCCTGATCTGGGCGAAAACCGTTTCTCCTATTCTCGGAGATCCTTAACTCCGATTGCGCTGATCTTTTTACACGGTTTTTTTCCTGATATAAGCTTCCTTTCACCCTAAGTAGAGATCCAACCGACGTTCGAGGAGGGCAGCACCCACCACCATGCGCCAGGGGCCTGGGGCGCGCACTGGTGTATCGTGGTCTGTGTGGGCCTCCGTTTGCGATGATTCCAACTCCTAAAATTCACAAATATTCCAAAATAATTCTCCATTGGGTTGCATCATGTTTGGACTTTGTTTGATATGGATTTTCTGTGATACAAAAACATGCAACAAACAGGAACTGGCATTGGGCACTGGATAAGTAAGTTAGTCCAAATAAATCATATAAAAAGTTGCCAAAAAGTATGTAAAAGTTGAATAATATTGGCATGAAACAATCAAAATTAATAGATACGGCGGAGACGTATCAGGGACTCATATTTTTAATTGTTTCTCCAGTTTCGAATGACAACTGTTTCCTGGTCAAACCATCTCCATCTTTCCCATTATCTGCTTGCGGTATTAGTTTCAAAGGACTTGTGACTTCTTGATCAGCCCCTTTCTTGTAATTTTTCTCATCCTTCTCCTTTAATAGCAGGGTATTGTTCTTCCTCCATGAATCACTGTCATTGCCTGAATTACTCCTGAATGCACCACTACCAAAACTTCTGCCACTGCCCCCAGACCTACTGCTTCTAAAAGTTATATCCTCACTCCATCATGCCCAGCCTTCTGAGGGCCCTTTACTCGGAATAAAAGCTTTCATCCATGCTCCAAACTGGGCTTTCTCCCCCCTTTTTAGGCTGATACTGCATTCCCGATCGACAAGTCCCAGCCGGCCACATATGTAGCCAAAATCAGGGAGGAATTCATATTCAAATCTGCACGAAAGATCCACTTGATGTTCAGTTCCTTTGCCCTTTCTTTTTAACCTCTTCTCTTCTTCCCCCTCTTCTCTAGTGAAACCTCACATTAGAGGCTCACTGATATCAATTCGAACTTTGACCCATAGAAAACTTCCTGCAACCATCCCATCTAGTCCAGCATCCACCTCCAGCGTCTCTCCCAGGAAACCACCGATTACTTCTCCCACTTCCCTGCGCATCATACCAAGTGGGAGATTGAAAACCCTTACCCACACTGGAACCCAATAGAATTCATAATCTCTCACTATGTTACTAGGCACAAAGTCCACCACAACCAGCAGTCCCTTGTCAAACTCCCACGACCCTTCCTCCAGAGCCCTCTTCTTCCCCGTCGGCTGGTGGAAGGTAAACACAAATACGCTCTCGCCCATATCCTTGCACTCAAGCCCTTTCAGAGGACACCAGACCCTAGCCAGAGCATCCGCAAGGGCTTCCGCATGCGCTGGCTTGTCAGACATTAGTTTTGCGATCGTCTGCGGTTCCACCACTCCTACCTTGTTACCCCCCACCCCCACAGACGATCTCCCCCCTGCTCCCCATTTCCGACAGTTTTAGACTCTTCAAAAGACCCTCCACCCGATCCATCCTCCTTTCCGCCTCCAAACCTCCAAAGACCACGAACCAGAAAAACTAGGGTAAGACAGTGGTGTACGATCGTGCTCCCTAGCACGCACGAAAGGTCTATGGTGTGGACAGGGATGGTGGAATTCAAATCAGAGCGTGGCGCCCCCGATGAGATCTGGGTTGTGGCAATGGCGAAGGACAGGAACCCTAGGAAAGAGATCGCCTCATGATCGCCCCAAAATCTCCAGGGACCTAACCGTCACACGAGGGACGGACCTACTAAGTTTTACTTTTTCTTGTCAATTTTTTTAGGGATCTTGACAATTTTTTTAGTGCTCTTTTAGTCTCCCAAAAAAAAACGGCCGAACAATCTCTACGTGGGCTGCTACTTCCTCATGGGCTGCATAGTTAACAGCCCAGTATGCTCTCAAAAAAAAAAAGTTAACAGCCCAGTACTGTGTATCCCGTCCACTTGGGCCCTTCCCTGCCCTTCGTTCTCCGCCTTTCCTCTCACACACCGGCCGCCGCGAGGGAGAGAGGAGCCGAAAAACCTCGGGGGCGGAGGGGAGAGGGGACTGGGGAGGAGATGCAGATCTTCGTGAAGACGCTGACGGGGAAGACGATCACGCTCGAGGTGGAGAGCAGCGACACCGTCGACAATGTCAAGGCCAAGATCCAGGTCGGTCCTCCCCTTCTTGCCCCCGTCTCGCGTGCTCGCGCGTCGTCCCGCGCGAGACGAGGCGATGGCCCTGCATCCGTTTTAGTCCCCTCCGAATTCCGCGCGTATTGGCTATCTACTTGCAGTTTCCTCGTTGTTACTAGCGTGATCCTGCGGGAATTGCACTTCAGGAGCTTTCCATCTTAGGTTTATTGGTTCCCTGCTCATTGCATCATCATGAGATGGACCCCATTAAATGCGTGTGTAGTCTAGGTTTGTTATAGTTCTGTGTGGTTCATCGTCAGTCTGGAGGAGCAAGGGCAGAAGAACTCTATAGCCATGGGATTTTACTGTTCATATTTGACCATGAGCGCTCTGTCCTATCTGCTATTGACCTCCTTGGGTATCGACACTCATATGCTACTACACTAATCTTGTAATTATATGAACAGTTTTCCCCCTGATTATATAGCAGTTAAGAGACATTGTTGTCCTATTCGTGTTTACATACGTATCGAGAAATACCGGTCGCTTACTTTGGTAGATATATCATTGACGCAGGACAAGGAAGGCATCCCACCAGACCAACAAAGGCTGATTTTTGCTGGAAAGCAGCTGGAAGATGGACGGACATTAGCTGATTACAACATTCAGAAAGAGTCGACACTTCATTTGGTCCTGAGGCTGAGGGGTGGGACTATGATCAAGGTGAAGACACTCACTGGTAAGGAGATTGAGATCGACATCGAGCCTACCGACACAATTGATAGGATCAAGGAGCGCGTCGAGGAAAAAGAGGGCATCCCCCCTGTTCAGCAGAGGTACGCTTCTTATGCCCTGAACTTGGTGTTTATGTGTTATTGGTGGTTGCTGGATGTGTAGCTTCTGGACTTAAGTAGTAGTAATTGCTTTGTGTTATACTTCATCTGCCCCCTTAAATCCATGAAAAGAGTGAACATGCCTTTGTGTTAATTTTTTCTTGCCAGGATAAAAAATATGGCAGTTATTATTATCCCTAAAATCTTGGTAACGTGGATTATTACTTTTGTCTGTTGTGACTTGATCTTGCTATGCATATGGGCCTATGACTCTATGAGTACTAAACCTGACTTGTAAGCAGTCCTTCCTCAGATACTAATAATCTTCAATACAGGACTAGATTATCTGTTACCTTTTTTTAGCTTGCCCACTTTAATGGTTGAAGACATCTGTACATGGATTGAGGGAAATTTCTTGTTTAACTAATTAGGCTGTTCAGTTGGACGTCCTATCCTAGTCATAGTATTGCCCTGTTTCAATTCAAGTTTATACTTTGAAATCCTGTAATAATTACTAGCACATATTCAGTCAAAAAAAAATTTACTAGCACATCAGCCTTACTCTGACTGTTGCTTTGCAGGCTCATTTATGCTGGAAAGCAGCTTGCTGACGATAAAACTGCTAAAGATTACAACATTGAAGGTGGTTCAGTTCTCCATCTCGTGCTTGCTCTGAGGGGTGGTCACTAGATACAGTTTCATTTCCACTAGGAATGCATTCACAAGGAGAGCAGCTTTGTCTACGCTATTTTCGTCCTACCATTGTACTTGGCTTAAAATCATGCACTTGACATTATTGAAGTGGCAAGTTATCGGTACATAGGTAACTAATAAAGAAGCTATTTATCTACAGTGGATGAGAAATACTTGAACTGATAAGTTTATGAGCTCTATCATCTGATTAATTATCGTTGGTTTCTCTGCCTCTACTTTGAACCAGAAACATTGCTACATCAAAGATGCTGCCTCCATGCTTTCTTCTTCTACAGCTGAAAATGCATAATCGGTTAATAAATTTGATCAGGCGGATTATAGCCCTGACCCCTTGCTCCTTATCTAATATGAGTATCAACATCTATGTATTGCTTATTTACCATCCCACTTGGTTTAAACATGTTTAATTCTATGCTGGACTATGATCACTAGATTTGACGCATTTTTCATTTGAGCATGACTGCTCAATCGAGTTTTAATGCCTAATACTAAATAAAAATAGTTCACATGCATTTTTCTAGAGTGCAATCAGTTTGTAAAATGGGGAATCGATTCTTATTGGCACAAAAAGTATTTTCTTTGCTCCAAATTATGATTTGCTTATTCTTATATTAGAAATGTTTATGTTTTTTTTGGGTGTAATCGTGGATGAGGATATACAACAAGAGTTGTCGCCATGTGTGATCCTACTATTGATTGTTGTAGTTTGTCTATAGTGACAGGAATCTCATGGAGATATACTCTTGTGTCAGCGCTGTGGTCATAATGTAGAATAAGTTCAGCATAGCCCTTGCAAATTACAAAAATAACCATGTCATACATTCATCCATGATAGCTATGATGAGGAAATACTTTATGTGTTCTATAAAGTAAGAAAAATTAATGGACACATATCATCACTTATCCTATTCATCACAACAGTGGGTTCCACTATGATTTTATTGACCTAATCTGTGCTCTTCTTGGAGTGTTTGACATGGTGGAAAATGTACAGCTTTCCAATATATTTCTGACACTAGCAGCATTCTGTAGAACGAAGCAAGACTGATGGAATAGGGTTTGAAGGGAAGGGAGTTATTTGGATAGTGAGTACCAATTGAGGCTCGCCGAGTGCTCCTGGACAAACCATTTAGAGAACATATTAAAATAAATATGCATGCTCCTTTTTATTCTTTTGAATCTATTGCTTTCCAAAAGACACAGATGCCTATCTTGCTAACATTTTCATTCAGAAAACAGTCTTTATGCCGGTTGGTGTAAAATAATATGTTGAACTACACATTACCATTCACTAACACTTTTCGGTCTTACCCTCCTTGTTCCTTGATTCCTTCTAGCATATCTATACTAGCCATTTATTTTTCCTTCTCAGTTATTGTTTTGGTACATTCCTCACGCACCTACAAGGGCGTCTAAAGTGGATTGCTGTTATGTATCCCTTTCCGCCCCTTTTTCTGTAAGATCTGGTTTTCTTTCCTCGAGTGGCTCACTATCTGATTGGACTGATATTTTGGTTTTCCTTAGCCAGATTGCCGTTTAGATTAGAATTAGGTGCATAGTGTCATGCAAGCAGATTGGACTTATTATGCGCATTATTGTCCATATTGGTCTTTATTAGGCTCAGGTATGGTGTCATGACATAGTCATAAAATTTATTCTCAATCTGCATATGATAGCCAACAATATATATGCTTTTGCCTTTAATTTGTAGCCTCCTATCCATGAAGGTTCTTTAGACCAAGAGAAATGCAAAGAATGTCCTTTGGGTGGTTTCGAAAAGTATACAAGGATGTGACATAAAAAATTCAATTTAGTTCATATAAAAGAATAACTATCTATTGCTTTCTTATTGCACTCGGAAAGAATTATATGCACCTATATTCTGACTTCCATATGTTTTGTCTTTGTTGCATCAGCAGTTGCTCCATTGAATGTGTCATGTAGTTTATCCTAGGTTGCACTCCATTCTTTATTTTTAGAACATATTCCAAATCGCCCAATTGTTTTTGTGCGTCAGTTGTGTTATTCTCTACATTCCTTTCTTTCAAACTACTACCTTGTTTTCCTTCTTTGCTGTGCTCTTGTTGGAGGGCGGTAAACATTCCAGACTTGGGAGAGCAAAATGATTAATTTGTGCAAACACAGATGATTAATTTGTTCATCATTTGTGTAGGTTCAGTTGTTTCTGTTTTGAGTGTCTGAAAACACGCTCTGCCCAGGGCCGAATTCGACTGCTTGCTATACATTGATTAGTATTTGAGCTCCTTTTTATGCCTTATAGGGTAGGTACGATGTGGTCTCAAAATGGATACTTTCTTTTGTGGACGGCAGTTAAACTGGACCCATCAAATTGTTGTACTTAGCCTTCTGTTTCTGGGCTTTGATGTTAGCATATCTGATCTTGTGCAACAAAGAAGATTTGGCTGGAATATACAACCAGTGGAACCATTACTTATTACCATTCTTTTGTTGTGTTCATACTATCAATGATATGCACTACATAACTTCTCCGCGACATCTGGTGATTGCTACTTGTTTTCTGATTAGATACCCTAAAATATTGTTAGTAGGTTGCTGTTAATCTCCA